AGAAAAGAAGAGTGTATGGGGTCCAGAAAGCGTTCACATGCATGTAGAGTGTTGTGTAGTGGAGAGAGGCCCGAGGGCGCTAAATGAAGAGTGGAAACGAAAGTGGGGCGGGAGAGAGAGAAAACAAATTAATAAAAATACAGTAATAATAATGTGAGAAAAAAAAAGAAGAGTGCCGCGCAAGACACAAAAAGGGGGAAAGAGCAGACAAAGCGAGGGGCGGACGAGAGAGGACGGCGAGAGAAGGCAAAAAGGGAGGAGAGAAGGGGGGGGGCGGAAGGGGGAGAGAGAGACGAATACGACCAAAAACACAAACGGAGGGAGAAAAAAAAAACATCAAACAAAAGTACAGAAAAAGCGAGATTGAAAGCGGTAAATAACCAACTGGCCTACAGTCTTCCTCCGAATACAACGTACTGTCATTGCAGCTGAATCTGGGGCATCTTTCAGTCTACATTCAGCTATAATGACCGTACGTTGTATTCGGGGGAAGACTGTATAGCTTAGTTGGAATACCCCATAAACTGTTGAAACACAGACCCGAGTTCGAATCCCAATTTGAATTAGAGAAGTAATAACGCTGAATGTACGTGGGCCCGGTGTCTTGAAAGATACATCTCAAGGCTGTCGCCACCTTCTCAATAAAACAAGAGGGGGGAGGAGGGGGGGAGAGAAGGAAGCAGGTAAATAGGGTGACCGTCGATGTAGGACGCACATTTTATAATCTTTCCAAAACAGACAAACACAAAACGCGGGAAATAGGGTAATCAGGGCGCCGAAAAAGAAAACGCGGGAAACAGGGCAAAAAGGGAGCGACGAAGGGACAGAGACAGAGAGACAGAGAGAGAGAGAGAGAGAGAGAGAGAGAGAGGAGGGTGGGAATGGGGGGCAAGGGTGGACGTGAGCAAGGGGAGCAGGTAAGAAAAAAACACCGACCTTGAGAGAGAGAGACCGAGAGAGAGAGAGAGAGAGAGAGAGAGAGAGAGAGGGGGGGGGGGGGGATGGGCGGAAAGGGTGGACGTAGGCAAGGCGAGGCAGGTAAGAAAAAAGCACCGACCTTGAGACGAAGATCGACAGAGGGGAGAGGAGGGGGACCCTTCTCCTCCGGTGGCTTGGGAACGACTTCGTCTTTCTCCCGCTTTGCATATTTCTCGTGATCCGACAGAGCTACATTGAAATCGAAGGCCTCATTTCTCTCGTTAAACCCGAGACCGATGAAGGCGTGATGGCCCCTGCCATCGTCAATCCGAAGAACAAAGTACCGCGAGCTATCCACAACACTCTCCACAGTGGTTTCCCTACGCCCGGCATGGACGGGACAAGAGGCGAACAACTCACCAGTATTACTGTCTTCCAGACGGATTTCACACTTCTCCTTCGCAGAGACAACGCGTAATCGTCCCGTCCATATCTTGTCCGACACCAACCACTCCGCGCATTTGTACCCTCCGCTGGAACTTCTCGGCGGAATTTTGAACGCGTTCACCTCCCTTACAACCAACAACGTGTGCTCGAAAGAGTCGTCATCGTCGTCGTAGGACATTCTCTCTCTCTCTCTCTCTCTCTCTCTCTCTCTCTCTCTCTCTCTCTCTCTCTCTCTCTCTCTCTCTCTCTCTCTCTGTGTCTGTGTCTCTCTCTGTGTGTGTGTGCGTGTGTGTGTGTGTGTGTGTGTGTGTGTGTGTGTGTGTGTGTGTGTGTGCGCGTGTGTGAGAGAGAGAGAGAGGAGAGAGGTGAGTGACTGCCAATAGTACTTTTCGAAATTCACAAGCGCTATTACGCGGGATCGGTCAGACTGCTGAGTGGCTGGGTCGGTAGCTGGCGGTAGACGGCCAGAGAGGGGTGCAGAAGTAAAATCCTTGTGTAGATTGACAGTAACAAGGCGAAGGGAGGGAGGGAGGGAGGGAGGGGGGGGCAGGGGGTAGGAGATGGATATGAATATCGGGGAGAATACAAAAACCAAAAATAGCTGGTATGGTATATAAATAACTTTGGGGAGGAAAAGAGAGGAGCAGACATACAGAGGAGGCGAAGGGATGAAGGGAAAGCCACAGCAGAACGTCACTGTGAAAAGGAGGTTGGTTATCGCACGCACTCTCTCAGTCACAAGATCGCGCATCTATGAATTTATTTATTTCCTGCCCTTTTGACATTGATATTGCCGAAACACCGATGGCGCCATGGCGGGATGGCGAGATGGCGCGATGAAGAAAAAAGGCAGCATGGCGGGATGGAGAAAAAAAAAGGGCGCGGTACCCAGCCACATCCCATGTGGCTGAATTTTTCGCCCACCCCTGGGGCTACCGTAGGTCCCACTGGCGTGTGTTCTTCATTCTTGACCGCCGACGGTGGCGGGAATACGCAGATCCATGGTCAGAAATGAAAACCACCATGCAGTGGGACTCGGACCCTGTATCTTTTGGTAATCCGACCAGGGGCTAGGTCCCACTAGCAGAGAGGATTGGCTTGAAATGCCTGAATGTAGAAGTGTATGAGGACAGATGCAGAAAACCGTGACTGATCTGCTTTTCTGCATCTCCGCGAAGAACCTATCCAGATTCAGGATCCTAATTCGATCCTCTTTGCTAGTGGGACCCCGGCCCAGGGTTCGAATCGAGGATTTGGATACATGAAATAACTCTGAACCCTCCAGGGCCCGTCAGTTCCATGACGATACCGGCGGTCACCTTTTGGGCCTTTCTGGGAATAAAAAGGCAAAAAGGGAAAAAGGCAAGTTGACATTTGGTGTATAAGGGACGCTGGGCCCGGTTCCCAGCATGTGCCCCAGCATGTGCCGCTCCCCACAAATAGAATGGAGCCCCTAAACAAAAAAAAGAAAAAATCCAGCGGCCTAGCTCAGTTGGTAAGGCATGCAAGTGGCATTCAGGAGGTCTTGGGTTCAATCCCCATTCGCCTCATGTACCTTCCTGGGCATGCTTGGCGCCCGCCACCTAGAGATAGCCCGTTGGTCCCCCCAATTGGCATTAAAAAAGCAGTGTCTGCTGATGTTCGCAGCCCTAAGGCTGCGGTATAGTGGGTTTCGGCGTCTGCGTCAAGGTGTCGCATTTTCGGCGGCGGGCGACCAAGACGCAAAGTGGGTTTTTAGGGGGTAAAAGTTTTGGGGGACCGGTCCTTGGCAAAATTGGGGACTACCTACATGCAGCTCTGGAATGACCGGGACTTTTGGAAAAAGCAAGGACCGGTCCTCGGGTGGAAGTGGACCCCAAAAAAAAGTGCGGGTGGGGTAAGGGCCCTCAGGTCCAGGCGTTGAGGCCCGTCTTCTCAAAATTGTCTATCGCGTGAACGCGGGGAACGCAGCCCTAAGGTATCCAAATCAATGAGACTAAGAGCTCGCACAAGAGAGAGAGAG